TATCTGTTCCCCCAATCCCCCCCTAGAACGCGGGGAGAGCAGAAGACAGAACGTGCAATCCAGTGCCGCTTATTGTGCCAAATAAAAAAAAAAAAAATGTAGGAAAGATTTCTGAAGGGAGTGAAGTTTGGACATAGGAACGGGGACGGGGAGAGTTGCAAACAAGTATAAAAGTTTGGGTAACAACGGTCATTTTTAAGACGTTGATGCGTCCGAGGAAAGAGATGGGCAAGGTATCCCAATGTTTCAGAGAGCGAGAAATTGCTATAAATAGTGGGGGGAAATTGGCCTTGTATATGGATTGGTAAAGAGGAAGTAAGATTAGTAGTGACCTAAAAAATATTTTAAAGAGTGGGTGCACCCACCGGTAGGGAAAGGCTTGCTGAAGCGAGGTTAGAACAGCAGGTGGAACATGTATTGGGAGTGCCAGTTTTGGACGTGTTTTTTTTGACTTTTGTAGCCTGATATAGCCCCAAATTGTGTTTCAGAGTCTCATGCAAAATCGGTAAGGAGGTGTGGGGGGCTCGTAAGTGTGAGGAGGATGTCATCTGCAAATAACGATAGACTTGTACTCATGGGAATGGGATTGTATCCCGCGAATATCCGGATTCGACCTGATGGCGATGGCTAATGGTTCCAGACAAAGAATGAACAGCAAGGGAGAGAGTGGGCACCCCTGCCGGGGCGTGTGCCATTTGACATCTGAAAGGGAAGTGAAAGAAAAGAAGCTAATCTGACCTGCGAGAAGGGGGATGAATAAAGGGCCTTCAAGGCTGCTACAAATGGGTCTCTAAAACCAAATCTCTCCAAGACCATGAACAAATATAAGGCCAACTTAAAAAACGGTCGAAAGCTTTTTGAGCATCTAAGCTCAATAACACAGCAGGGGTAGAGGATCGGTTAACCAAGTCAACCAGATCAATAGATCTCCTGGTATTATCTGCAGCATGTCTGGCAGGTACAAAGCCCACTTGGTCCCTATGTATGAGTATGGAAATAATTCCGGACAGTCGGTTGGCCAAAATTTTAGTGAAAATCTTATAATCGGAATTAAGTAGGGCAATGGGGCGGTAGTTGTCTACAATAGAGTGATCTTATCGGGTTTAGGGATAACCGAGATATATGCACGGGAGAATTCAGTCTGGGGTGTGACCCCCCTTGAAAAGATCTCGATAAAAAGAGAGGAGATGAGGTGCCAGAAATTACCAATAAAAGATTTATAATAGGAGTAGGGCAATCCATCCCGGTCCCGGGGCTTTACGAGAAGGGAGATGTTTAATTGTGTCCAGTAATTCCTCTAGCATAATGTCAGCATTAAGGGTGGGCAATGTCCCTGAAGGTGATATTCTCGGAAAGTGACAAAGGGTCAAAAAAATTATCAAACACGATGACTGTGTGAGGCGGGTGAAGGTCTGGGGTCAAACAGTTATACAGTTTTCCCATAGAATGAGCCAAAAAGGGTTGCCCATATCCCGAGGGTCATAGGTAGGGCTTCCATTTGGCTGTATTAATGAGGTCAGGCATCGTAGAAGGGACTGAGCTTTGAGTCGATTGACTAACATACGATGGGGTTTGTTGGAAAATTCATAAAATTTCTGCTTAACCCAGAGGAGGGATTGTGCAGTCTTACTGGAGTCGAGAACTTTGATTCGTCGGTCCCCGTAGAGATGTTACCCTCTGGAGCCCAGAAATGGATGGCTTGGCCAGTAACCGTCGTTTCCGCCGCAAAAGATAGCTGATGTATAAGAGAGGCCCCATAGCACTCGCCGAGGACTTTTTTTTAACGAGAAATACAGAGTCCTCGAAAGACCGCCTTATGGGCCTCCCACAGAGTTGAGGAAGAGGCAACGGAGCCAACATTGTGTGTAAAGTAGTATCAAGTCCCTGCGACAGTTCATCTCTAAAATGGTCTGTGGAAAGAAAGGTCTCATTAAGGCGCCAATGACATGGTTTTGGGTATAACAGGAGGAAAAAAAAGGTTTAAAGTCAAAGAGGCATGGTCAGAACCAAGTGATGGGGTTGAATTTCAGAAGAAACCAGAAGTGAAAGCAGTGGGGCAGAGATGAAAAAAATGATCTAGAACGAGAGTAACTACGGTGAGGGGTGGAGTAGAAAGTGAATTGTTTATGAAGGGGGTGTTTAATTCCGCCAGGCGTTCGAAGAGACGATGCTCCCTTATCAGTCTACGAAAAGATTTTGAAGAGGAGCATTGCCGCCTCGAGGGGGTGGGACTCAAAAAGAACCTTCCTGTCTTTATGAGGGGAAAAAAATCAAATTAAAATCACCCCCACAATCACCTGCGAAGTGGAAATGGAATCTAGGTCAGCGAGTGTTTGGGAAAGGAACTGCAATTGACCGTATTTGGGGCGTATAAATTCAACAGAACAAGGGGGGTGTCACCAAGCATACATTCCAAAATAATAAAGCGACCCTGTTGGTCAACCTTGGAGGAAACAACCCGAAGGGAGCAGTGTGACCTAATCAAAATTGCCACCCCGGCCTTCCCGGAAGGATCAAAGCCGAATAGGCTTGGGAAAAAAAATCTTGAGGCAAAACGAAAAGGGAGCCAGATGATTTGAAATGGGTCTCTTGGACAAAAATAATGTCTGCTCCTGAGGATCGAAATTCCTTCAAAGCCATCCACCGTTTTTGAATGGAGTTGAGGCCCTTAACATTATACAACAGAAACCTCAAAGCCATTATGAAATAACAACAACTGAAACTACATGTATTACCATGACAAATGAGTGAAATACCATTGATGTAGTAGAATAGAAAACAAAAAACATAAAACAAGCAAATAACACAAAAGAAAGAATATACAGTGAAAAACAGGTATCCGCAAGGATATAAACTTGGGAACGTCAACTAAGTCCAAGTCGTCTAGGCCAATGGCTAGACAAGATCGGGGGTAGCACGACATCCGACACAACCGGGAGGTCGTCAAACCCGGCCAGGAGAAACAGAAGCAAAAAATGCACCCAACAAGGGTTTGGCCGGCCAAAATGACAAAAATTTTCATACATGGTATAAAACCATGTATGAAACAGGAGAGAGAGAACAGCACCAGATTAGCCACAGAAGGTCACCCCCTGAGAATCATCAGGCAGGTGGATCACTTGATCGAGAAGAACGCGGCACGTTGCGGGGTGCGTGAGAGTCTCTTCCGACCTCCGCGGACTGGTGTCCCAGATCTTGTTGGGGGTGGCGGAAGGACGGGATGGGGTAGGCGGCAAAGAGGACACATCATCCGATAAAGGTGGAAGTCCCAAACTGTTTTAGGAAAGAGTCCGCTTCATGAAGATCCCGGAGAACAACTTGAGTATTGTCCTAGAAACGACCAGCTTGAAGGGAAACCCCCAACGATACAGGACACGATGTTGCTGAAGGTGTGTGGTGATCGGCTTCAGAGCACGCCGTTTGGCAAGAGTAATCGGAGAAAGATCGCAGAAGAGTTGGAGTCTGTCACCTTTAACTTCCAAAGAGGATTTGTGGCGAACCGATGATAGTAAGGCTTCTTTGCTTTGAAAGTAGTGGAAACGGACTATAACGTCGCGTGGCCTGGAGCCCTCAACAGGTTTAGGGCCCAGAGAGCGATGAGCCTGTCCATTCGCCAGTCTGCGTCTGGGATCATGGGAGCAGTTGCGATGAAGAAGGACAGTAGGGTGGCGGTGTAGTTGTGCATCAGCAATAGATTCGGCCATACCGCGAATACGGATATTTTGGCGCCGTTCCCTGTTTTCCAGGTCTTCTTGTTGGAGCTGCATTTGGGACATGGAGTGTTTCAGATATGCGTTATCTTCCTCCAGGACATGAACGTATTGCACCAAATCATCAAACTTGTTTTCCAGTTTATCCGTGCGGTCTCCAATCTGGGCTATTTCCCCTCTGAGATCTATAGCCAATTTACCAACTTCAGCGGTTATGGAGGCGGTGATATTACGTAAAAAGATTTGCAACTTATCGTCCAACGCAGAAATTGTAAGCGTAGAGGACAACATAGCCTGCTGAGGGTTTTGGCTAGGGGGAGGAAGATACCCTGGTGTAGGGTGGTCCATAACCCCTCCTGCTGTGGCTTGGGAATCAGAATCCTCCCTTTGGGGATGGATCAGAGCAGAGGCTGTCAGCTGCTCTGTTATAATGCAGGGTGCAGTACCCTCCGCGGCCACCGGGGGTCCGGGAGCCTCCATTTGTGGATGGATCAGAGCAGAGGCTGTCAGCTGCTCTGTTAGAGTGCAGGGTGCAGTACCCTCCGCGGCCACTGGGGGTCCGGGATCGTTCCTCGGACTCCTGACACTACTTGAGGCCAGGGATTGCGGCCTAGTCAAAAATCGTCGGAGTGGCGAGGGCCACGGATCCTGCGGCTGCGGGGAGGGGGGCTTCCAGCGCCCTATCTTCCCCATGGAAGCCTCTCCCTTATGCTGGGGCCGGGTGCTTGTACTGTGTGACTCACCCGTAGCAGAGAATATGCCGTGGAGCGGAGCGGGTGAGTCACTACTGGCCGGGGATGAGCGGAGCTCAGCAATCCGCGTCCGACATCATCCCTGGTCGCGCATGCGCCCCCCTCTCGTCCATGTCTTTATGGACCTTGCTTTGTGCACTGGTGCGCAGTCATGTTGGAACAGGGATGGGCCATCCCCAAACTATTCCCACAAAGTTAGGAGCATGAAATTGTCCAAAATGTTTTGGTATGCTGATGCCTTAAGAGTTCCCTTCACTGGAACTAAGGAGCCAAGCCCAACCCCTGAAAAACAACCCCACACCATAATCCCCCCCTCCACCAAACTTTACACTTGGCACAATGCAGTCAGGCAAGTACCATTCTCCTTGCAACTGCCAAAACACAGACACGTCCATTGACTTGCCAGACAGAAAAGTGTGATTCATCAGAGAACATGTCTCCACTGCTCTAGAGTCCGGTGGTGGTGGCGTGCTTTATACCACTGCATTGTGCGCTTTGCATTGCACTTAGTGATGTAAGGCTTCGATGCAGCTGCTCGGCCATGGAAACCTATTCCATGAAGCTCTCTACCCACTGTTGTTGTGCTAATCTGAAGGCCACATGAAGTTTGGAGGTCTTTAGCTGCTAACTCTGCAGACAGTGCTGCGCACTGTGCGCTTCAGCATATGCTGACCCCAACTCTGTCATTTTATATGGCCAACCACTTCGTGGCTGAGTTGCTGTTGTTCCCAGTTGCTTTAACTTTGTCATAATACCACTAACATTTGACCGTGGAATGTTTATTAGCAAGGAAATTTCACTGATGGACTTATTGCACAGGTGGCAACCTATCACGGTACCAAGCTTAACTTCACCAAGCTCCTGAGAGTGATCCATTCTTTCACAAATGTTTGTAGAAGCAGTCTGCAT